CGTACTTCAGTCACAGCTAGGTGTTTAGTGCCAAAGCCAAGTGGAACTAGACTGGTGAAAAACCTCCGAAATTCAAATAATGCGTATGTCAGGACATGAGCACCAACTGATTTGCCTTACAGATCTGCACCTATTTGCTTATGCATGTTAGCTGTCTCAAGAGTACTAGTTCTACACATAACACCAAAATAGTGCGATGTCTGCAGCAGTGAAAAAAGACAATTGTAAAAGTCAGGAAATAGTAGATAACAGTTTTATTATTGTAGCAGGCTTAAAAAACAAAAATCAAAAAACGAGCAACAAGTGCAGCTTTTATGTTCACTTTACCATTTTTTTCCTTTCCCATTGAAATATACCTGGGTCAATTTCTTTGTTTATTTTTGAACTTTGAGAAAATACATATTTATGAAACTTGCAAATTAGGGAAATCTAACTGAACTTAATTATACAAACATAGTATGTTTTCCTCTCCCACTGTGTTTTCTGGCCTTTGATTCCGTTAAACTGAAATAAAAACAATCATTTATTTCATGAGAATACTGTTTTATAACCATTGATACTTTAACATCATTTCCAGGATCATGTTCAATAATAAATAGAAATTAGACAAATCTTGAAGTCTGTCCAGGATTAATGTGTTAAAATTAAAAACAAAATAAAACTGTCATTTTTGAGACTTGTCTTTTAAAACTCATAGCCGCATGTGTAGCATCTAGAACAGAGTAGCTTACAAAACTGAAGCTCATACAAAGCCAAATATTCTTTTACATTTTGGCAAACTGTGCAACTTGAAAACAATGCAGTGTAACATATCCTTACAATTATCATCTAGTATATAGAGAACTTCACATTTGCTTCTTTGTGGAATTGGATTTATGTGTTTGCTGTATTTTTTTCTGTGTTGAAATAGTCTGTGTTTAATAGGTCACAGTCAACATTTTGATCTTTTCAAACATCTGTTACATTGTAGTGTTCTTTTCCATATGCTATTTTAACACGTTTCAGCTGGGCTAAATCAAATGCAGTTTATGTTTTGGCATTATTATCTGTTCCAGTGTAAGTTGTAATAAGCCAAACTACCTGTGTTTTAAGACTGCGTATTACGTTCCTTCATACACACCTTAGTTGTTGAAGTTTTCTCTTCGCTTTATAAAGCTATGTTGTGTTAACTGTTACAAACATGTATTCTGAGCCAGTATAATTATCTCTGGGCTGGAAGGAGAGTAACATAATGCAATGTATTGTGGTAGATATTAGCTTTTGTTTGATCTGTGTTGTGCGTCTGCTCTTTCCACTTCTAAAATTTTGGGATAAAACTTCTGTATGGTCCCTGTGCTTCCACTCAGGCAGGTAGAGAAAATGGAGTTGGGGTTTACTAACCAGAGTTAATGATGTTCCTTTCTTTGCACTGCACAATGTCAAAGCTAAGATGCTGTGTGGGGACTGAGCACCTATTGTATAGGTTGTTCAGTGGGGCCTGAAGGGGAAGAGGATCATTCTGGGATCTTCCCATATGACAGTTAAAAGCCAGAGGAAGTACTTCTATACTCTGCAGCATGCATCCTAGATTGAAGTCTGCCAAGTCTATGTTGCAACCCCAGTTAGTCTGGCTGGTAGGAGATAGACTCCACTTCTGCCCCGAAGCTTTGCTGACCCTTTGCCCAAAAGATCAAATGGTACCATTATAGTTGGTGGTATCACTGTGCTTCCTTTACATCCATATTTGCATATTGGAAGATTCAAATGGTATTGATAATACATACTGTAATGCGGAATGGGAAACCTTTCTTAGCAAAGGATAGTTAGCTTTTAAAAAAAGCTTTTTTGTATCACATGTTAACATGCGTTTTAGCATACTCTTTCAAGACCCAGCTGCATACTGTGTCCCCGCTCTCTGCAACTAACACACTAGGCACAGTATCAGTTGTTACTTCGAGGGGAGTATTAACTTATTTTATTACAGACCGAAAGAAAGCTGTAGGGGCCAGTCTCAGTAGTTACGGGGCTTTTCTATTGGTATAAAATAGCCATGCTGGTTTGCACTAATAAAACATACATAAACAGTTATAGTCAAACATAGATAATGCCTTGCTCTGAAATTAAGTGAAAATCTAAGCCTTGAATAGCAGCCTTGAATAATCAGAAAATAGTAACAGTATAGGAGTACCGTAGTGTGTTTTACTTATTGGCCAGTCAGGATCATTATTATGCTAGAGATATAAATATTGTATTTGGGTCCGTACAAAACAGAAACACCAGAAAAGTTTAACACCATAATTTTCTTCATTCCAAAGACAGAATAAAGCAGCTAGTCCATCCTGGCTTTGAAAATAAAGAGCATTTTCTAAAAACCTGCTCTTAAATTTATTTATTTTTAATGAACTGGAGATTATAACAGTAGGGCGTAAAAGGCCTCCTCTGTTACTTTTTTCCCCCTTACTTTATTTGTAAAAAAATATCTACCTTGCCAGAGCTCATGGCTCTATTTCAATTGTATTTTGTTTTAAGGTTGCGAAATCAAATATTTGGAAGTCGTGATGTGCTTTGATCTAAATGAGGGCTTATTCCCCTTTTCCTTACCACCATGATCACCATTTGAGAACAGCTTCTAAAGTAGTAAGCACTATGGCCATGTCCTCAGTAAAAGAAAAGCTATATGATACTGGAGAACTGCAGGGAATATCACTGATGAGAAAGTGGCCAGGACCGTGTTGTGAGTGGAGTGGAGCTGTACTGACCATCTGAAATACGGAGTTATGTTATCTTTGGCTCTATTCTAATTAAAGTTGCCATCTCCTGGTGGGCCTTTGGCAATGTGTTTCCAGTTTGAGAATTACTGGGCTAGACTGCATAATCAGTCTTAGTTCTGCAGTATTGCAATCACATCATAGTAGATATCACATAATATAGTTTCTATTTTAATTTTATGCATTTTGATACATTCATGATTTTAACTCTGTCCCTTTTGCCCCGTCTGTAATTAATCTGTGAAATGCTGAGCACTATTTTTAATGCGCTTTGTGATTTTGATTTAACTTTTATTTTGTTAATGCCCAATGCCATTTGCTATATGTTTGGTGTAGAGGAAGAACTTGTTGGGAAGGAGCCCTATATCTTCTTAAGATGCTTTGCTGTATAGTACGGGCTATTTTAGCTTCAATTGGACCTGACTTTAGATTGGAATATTCATGCTCATTTATTAGTCTGATAGACCATAGGCATGTGTGTATGTATTTGTGTAAATATATACATGTTATACGCAATGAATATCATATGCAACAAAGGAGATTTAGGTTTGGATACAATTGCTTCTCTCTAAAAGCAGTTAGTGTGAAACTTCATAGAAAGTTTTTTTTTTTGTTTGTTCTCTGAGTTTTCCAGAGCAGAGGCTTGTGGTGTATCTCTCTTCTTTTTTTTTTTTTTTTTTTTTTTTAAGTAGTTATTTGTCACGGGTAAGGCTGTGTTCACAGCCGGTTACCGTGGAGAAACTTAAATACAACAGTTTATTATCCTATGTGAAAAGTATTGTTATACCTAGTAGGCAAATCTAAGAACGATGTAGTTAGTCCTCAAAAGACTGGATTTAAATACTTTATTTATATTAATGAAGGCTGTGTGTGCTATGCTGATAATCTCTTTGTGAAAACGACTTCAGTTTTTTTTCAAAAGGAATGTCATGCTTTTGTTCAAACTGGTTTACATGTAACTGTTGATGGATAAAATATTATCTTGCTATGCTTTCCTCTTCACACCTTTTCATTCTCCTTCCTTTGAAATGAAGTGTTTGTTGCACCAGTTCAGGCAAAAGTCGTATGTTGGAACTAGATTAAGCGAAGTTACTTTCTCTGCCTTCTTTTTGAGGATCAAAACAACACATTTGTTGGGCAAAGTGTGCAGCATTTCTAATGTACGCCAACACTTGCTGCATTGTGTTGTCCTTAACTTTACAGATTTCAAGGTATTTAACAGAGTACTTTGAACATCATATAGTTTTAGCGCAAGTGAAACAGACTCATCTCTTTGCTTCCTGTGAACAATCTACATTTCTTAACAGTGTAGGAATTATCGTTGTAGAGAGAAGCTCACCATTTGACCTTGTATCATCTGCTTTGCAGTATTATATAAGTGCAATTGTTATTCAAGGAACTGCACTCTGAAAATAATAAATACAGCACACCAAAACAATGTAATTACGTGAAAGTACATGCAAATCGTATCACTGTTTTTGAGTAGAGCATACTTAGAATGTTTTTGAGTAGAACATACTTAGAAACAAATCTCTGAGGGGTTTTGGATTATGCTGAAATAATTGCTGGTGTTGGAAGTGTGTTAGGTTCTTCTCTGTATTATGAGCATCTAAGATATATGGAACAGAAGACTTGCTGAAGGACCTGTCTACTTTCAAACTTATCTGAAATGATTTTATTGCCAATCTAAACAACTAGAGAGTGTAAATCAACAGAAAACTTAAAGGACCGATTTTTCTGCATTCTTGGCTAATACCATCCTGCCTAATAGCTTGTCTTTGCATTAAGAAATAGGACTAACTAAATATGTTTGGTTAATTTGCCGTGTATGATTATTGAGCTGGGACATAAACTCTGCTTTCTCCATCCTTTTTGGATACAAACAGGAAGATTGTTTGGAGGATAAAAACATTTGAGCCAGGCAACTGTAAACCTATGCAAATGTAAGAATTAGGATTGAAATACAATGCGAAATGCATAACTGTATCTCAGTACGCATTGTAGAAAACAGCTGATTCTTGAACAATGTCTCTTTGCCCCAGATGTTTCCTGCGGCCAGACTCTAAGCTATTGACTGTGTTTCATATGCCTGCGATGTGTGTGAGCTGCCACTCATGGCTGTAGTTACGCATTTTAGAATTTCAGAGGCAGTCATTTATCCCTGCAAAAAAACTCAGAATGTCTTTCTCAGGTAGTTAAACTCGCTGTGTACATAGTTGCAACACTAATATTTTATTGCTTTTAATTTTCTAGGGCGCCAATGCCTCAGCTTTGGAGAAAGAGATTGGTCCGGAACAATTTCCAGTCAATGAGCATTATTTTGGTTTGGTTAATGTAAGTTTCAGTGCATAACTTGATTGCTTTGAAATTCCACAAGTGAATTTGCTAAACAACAAGATTTTGATTGAGTGAATAATTAAAAACTGAAAGATATATTTAATATATTTAATGTATTGAAATAGAATTCAGTATTCAATAGATTGAAATAATTGTTGAAATTGGACTCTATTTAATACTTTATTTCATTTGATTTATTATAGGCTATTTTTCTTTGTTTAAATCACTGTCTGGCTATAAAAATGTAGAAATCTTTAAAAAAAAGTGTTTGGAATATACAGCTTGCAGTTGGTAATATGCCAATTTAAGTGAATAAATACACTAAAGTAAAAAATCTATGATAAATCATAGATGATACGAAGCATTGCTGTCTGTCATTTGTATTGAAACGTTAAAAAAAAAAAAAAAATTGACCCTGAAGGGGATAAAGAAGTGTTGAAAAAATATAATCTTGTTTAATTCCATCTTAAGTTCTCAGCATTCTCAGAATACCCGATTTCTGATATTACCTGTGAAAAGTGTATCTTAGAAGTTTCGTGAGTCTATCTGGAATCAATTATTAAATAGTTTTCTTTTTCGGGGCTTCAGAAAGTACATATTACAAACAGGTTGATTTAACAGGAGCCATCATCTTACTTTTGTTAATGAAACTAATGAATTATAATACTGTTCTTTTGCAACATATGTTTCCACCTCTGTGTTCTTAGCACTGACATGCTTCTGGAGTCTGCACTCCCAATATACATCTAGTTAGTAAAAATCCTCACTGATTAAGCTAACTTAGATATATCTCAACTGCCCATGACTTAAATTACTAATTTTTTCCTTTCTCATGAAAGGTTGAAATACCTTCAAAATGTGGCTTTTTTTTTTCTAAAAAGATGAAATACCCTAGTTGAACTGTTAACACTTGCTGTTAGTTCCATAGCTCATTTTAAGCATGTAAACTCATTTCCCTCAAAGCTGTTCTTACCTTTTCTCAAATCCATTACTCTATTGGCAGATAAACCTATTTTCCTAGTCTCTTATCCCAGTCCAGAGGATTTGTCGTGCCTCTCTGTGCATGTTTCCAAATGAATTGAGTAGCATTTCTTTTATTTATTTTACTTTTCTTTTATACATACAAAAACTGCTAACTTTAACTTGTGCCCTGGATATTGGTTGATATGATTGTGGTCCCACTGTCCCTTTTTAGACTTGAATGTATCCCCTGTTTTTGCCATATAAATGTATCTGAAGGAAGGAAAATACAAAAGAGAAACCTGAAAACTTACAACATCCTCATAATAATCTTGTATAGTCAGATATCCTAAGTGAATCTTCTCTGACGAATTCCAATGACCGTTTCCCTTTCTCTTGAGAGTAGCACTTTAAAATTTGAACTATGGTAATGTGCAAAAGCCTTTTCCTGTCTTGGTATTGTTTTTTAATTATGCTTCAACATTTTTGGAACAGTGGCTTAGCTTAAGCCTTTCTATTCCTCTGTGGTTGTGTGTCTCTAGAAATGCTTATTAAAATGACCCAAATATTCATACGCTAAACAAACTAACGCCAGATCAACCTGCAGATCACATATTACAGATAAATTCCAATTTTACGTTAGCCGTGTAAATTCAAATGATATCAGGTATCTCAAGGTACTCTTTTAATTTCCTGTGTAGAACAGGACGATAGATGTTTCTTATTTTAGCTTCAAACAATGAAGTTTTATGGACCAAACTTCTTCGAATTGTAGCTGAAATGAGATTCTGTTAAGTCTGTGGCACTCTGATGCTGTGTGTTTCAAGTACAGCGGTTGGCTAAGGCAATTCCATCATACTGTTGCTTGAATGGTTTTTGGATCCGTTATACTGATTGTGTTTATTAATACGTTATCTGGATGCCATTACATGTGTAATAAACTTGCAAAATTCAAATCTGCCAGGAAGGGGAAAGGTAGCAGTCTCTTTACTAGCAGATGGCCAATTTCCTATTCAGAAGGAATGGCAGAGCTGATGATAATTAGGAGTAATGAACTGTTAGATTGAGAAGTGATAGCAATCACAAATTTTGTCTCCATTGAATTATTTAATCATTTCATAGCAATTACAGGAAGTGAGCCTTTTAGAGGGTAATTAACATTTACTACTAATTTTTTCTAATTCATTTATCAATTTTGTTTGTCCTAATTTTGTCCACAGTAACTGAGAAAGACCATATGATGTGGAAATCAATAGCTATGTTCTAGCTGTGTGATAGCTAGTCATTTGTGATGTCTGGGACAGGATTTTAGATACAGATGATGATTCTGTAGTAGAGATCTGTGAATCATAAATGTAGAGATTATCCAGATATAATGTAAAAGAAGAAAAGGTGGAAGGATCCTCTTATCTCCTTTCCAAGTTTTTGGGGAAATCTAGGAATTACTCAGAGGCTATGATGAAAGAACAATTTGAGAGGTAAAAGAAGAATTAAGAAAGGGCAATTGTGGGAAGCATGTGGAAGAACAGATGGTCAGTGGGATGTTTGATTGTGTCAATGAAAGCTCTAAATAGAAAACTTGGCTTACAATTAAAAGGACAAATACCATTCATGAATTTAGCAGAAAATATTTAAGATGCATGGTAATATGAAAATGTTATTATTATGAAGTACTGCTGTTTGAATCCACTAAACTGAGGATCATTGTGGACCATCTATCTGAGGTAGCAACTCCTCTAAAAATGCTAGACATGAGCACTTCATTCTAATTACCCTGTCAGGGGCAAGTCAAAGTGTATTTCAGGCTTGCTGCTGATTCCTTCTCTCTGCATGTCAAGCCAAGTGCTAACTATGAAGAAAAAAAAAATAACGTTAGCATTGCTAACATCATCTGGAGAGCTGGAACACAAGAGTGACCCCTGATATCAGATCAGAGAAAGCTTTCTTGCTTGAATAGAGGTTTTAGTGATGAGATTCAGCAAAATATCAATTGTCTGTAGACGTGGCTCAAATCTGTAAGCTACACATCAATAATACATATACTATATGTCTGATGATACTTATCAAAGAGTAGTCTCACCATTCCAAATATAGCTCATTTTGTTGTTTTTTTTCTCTAAAAATTTTTTTGGGGACCGTTGTAGGCTTCATTAGTCAAATTGCTGCTGTGCAGTCCTGACCTACTCCTTTCTCCAGCTCTGGCCACCTCTGTCCTTGTACTAAGACATTTCGGCTTACTTAGGTGCCAAACTACTCCCTCCCCCTTTTCTTTTGCCTTGATTGAATAATTTTCTACTAGCAGAGTAAGCTAAAATGGTTCAGTTCCAGGGCAGACAAACTACAGTGCTGGCAGAAGGGGTAACAGGGAGGATTATGCAGCTGGCATGGGAAAGGAGTGTGGGGCCATGAGAATTAGACTTGGGTAAGACTATGAAAGTGCAGCATCCGCACTACCGTTATATTACTGCAGTTTTTAAGTAGCTCTGGAAACTTGTAAACAGATAGAAAAAAGCATCTTTTAGTTCCCATTTTACTATAAATGTCAGCCATGGGTGTCAGATATAGGAGTTAGATTCATCTTGATTGAACCAGCTGAGAATTTGAGAAATTTGGTGCACAGAAAACATGGGAGTACACATGGACAATCAGGTCTGCATATCACTTCTTTCCCTCCAAAATTCAGTAATGCAAACTCTTAACATCAGTGTTTTTCACAAATTAAATTCCTGATCGTATCCAATGAGTATCAAATAGCAATCATTTTTAATCTCATAAAGTGATCCTTCTTCAGAGTTTATCAGACTTCCAGAACAGAAAGTTTGATTATTCAGTCTCCTGCAATGGATCTGTGTATTTTGGAAGAATCACAACGAACAAAAGTTGTCAGAGCTAGTGATGTATCAGATCTAGGAGGAACCATCCTGGTATACCAAAACAGTATTCTTAGCAGATCTAAGTTTGTGTAGGTCTCTTGTTTCTTCTCGGAGATCTGTAGGGGTCAATAAACAACTCTTTTTCCTATTGTGTATTGCATCAAAAGAGTAAACTGTAAGGTCATAAGCAGTTCACAGTGAGTTCAGATTGTTGCAACTTTCCTGATTGTCTCTTCTTCTTTTTTCTGTGTTTTTTTTTTGTTTGTTTGTTTCCAGGCAGACTTGGGTGTTGTAACTTTGATATTGGGCTTTAAAAAAGGGTAGGGGGAGAAAGTATAGTGTGCGGAATTTTTGTGAAATAAAATAATCTGATTTCTCAGAATTTAGAGCAGAACAACATTGTGAACAAGAAAAAGACACTTTTTTGTTTGTTTTTTCTTAAATATGTATGTTTTAAGATGAGCCTCACAGGAACAAGGAGGACGGCAATAAACTAGTTGAAAGCATTAGTTAAAACAACTCCACTGTACACAGTCTCTATTACCTTTTCCTAACTGAGATAGAGGAGTTCAGATTGACAGTTTAAGATACAAAAGTACAGTGGTGGTGTTCCTTGCTGTCTTCTGCTGTTTCTCTGAGGAGGACTTCACAAGCATTTCATTTTCCAACAGTTGAGTTAACTAACATTTAGTTAACTAAATGTTCTTCTTGTTTTAAATAGTTTGATGGGCTTTCCATACTGTACACTTTCATGTCTCAAAGTGGTTGGAGCTTTACGTTGTCACTACAAAGCATACAGCTTATGCTTACAAACTTCCCATTATACAGTGTGTTGCTTTCATCTTTTTACAAGTATTGTGCTTCTGAGGCAGTGCTAATTGTAAAGTGAGCAGAAAAGGAAGGTGTCTGTTCTTCAGGTTGGCAGGAGAGCTAAGGATTAAAGAAGTAGTATTAGGAAGTGATGTATGTTGTAGAGGTCAAAAAGGCCCAGACTGAGAGTGTTCAGTAGATGGTGGGAGGACAAGGAGACTGGAACAAGGTCTTGGGTGTTTCTGAAATTAGGGATGTGCTTTTGTATTTGTATTTTGTGCAAAGATAGAAAGGAAGGTAATAAATGCTAATCTTACCATACTTATCTATATAACAACGTCATGATAATTTTTGAATAATAATAAGCTTACATTTTAAAAAGATTTTAGGTTTTGAAGCTACGAAGATTGATGCTCTAGATATAAAACAAATGCAAAGTAATGCAATGCAATGTGAAGTTGTCTTAATGAGTCTGTTGTCAAACAATCTTCTATTAATTACTGTCTTTTTGAATTTGGTTGGAGAAAACCTCTCAAGAACTGAATCTCCTTTTATTTCCTATCTACAGGCATATAAGTTAACCTATAATCATATTAAACTTAATCGTCTCAATTTCTCTCAGTGTTCCCATTTCTTTGTCGCTTTGCGTTTTGGTTGTCTCTCACTACATGTTTACCATTCTAATTAATTTGTCCTCAGACTGTTTCCTTTTAAAATTGGAATGTTATGAAATTTTTTTATTTGCTGCCTTTTTATCTTTGGGCGCTTGCTGCAGAAATTATAGCGCTTTTTGGCATTTGATTTGATATTAAGAACTTTCTTAACATTTTAATATAATTATCTTTTATATGGCTGTTTTTAATTATAAACTCATAAATAACTTACATTATTAAATGTTTTGACATAAATTACTGTGTGACTTTATTTGCTTCCTTTTAAGAAAAAAAAAATTTTCCTCTTAAAATGAGTGACCTACTTGAGGATAGAATTGGGCCACAAAGAAGCTAAAATAAGCATTCTCCCTAGCTTAAAAAATAAAAATAATTGGTGTTAATTTCCTCACTTTTCTAATATGCAGGTCTTAAGAATTTGTATTCTCTTCATTTTTTTTTTTTAATTACTTATTCTTTCTGTGCATCTTGGGTATTTAGAGAACAGTTCTTCATATTTCTTTAACTGAAAAAAAAAAAGAAAAATGATTATTTACATGCCATTTTTCTACATAAATTATATATAGTATTCTTGTTGGTCATTGTCTCAACTGGGAGAGAGTGAAAAACAGTTACTTCTCTGTTATTCTTTAGAATTAGAAGCTTTCAATCCTTTTTTTCTATTGAAAGAATCTGCTTTTAAAATACCTCTAACTGCACTCTTTTTCCTATAAAACAGTGACCCCATTGCAATATAGCCTTATAATTTGCTACTGGTATATGCTAATATTTTTATATAAAACCTTAATATGAGCCTTACTTTTACATTTTACGGAATGTGTGTAGTAGGTAAATGTTTCAATTTGCAGGCTGAGTGACTGCCGCTGAAAGGCTGGATTACTCGCTGAAGGCCTTATAAAGAATTTTTTGACACTTTCAGTGTGAGGTAATGGGCTCCACTGCAGGAGAGCAGTATGAAATGAGAGGAACTCTATCCACTGAGCGCTCGATGCCTTCATAGAGATGATGTGGAAGTTTCTAGTGTTGAGGTTAGCTGGAGACAGTGTCAGTGATCAAAAGACTAAAGGGGAGGGAAGGAGTGCCTAACACCTGGAGAGAGTCTGGAGAAGAACAACATCTGGAGTGTTCTGGTACAAAGAGGGTTATGAACGCTTTTTTAGCTGTCTCTTCCCCCATTTTAATTCAGGGGTCTGCCCCTTTCAAAATACGTATATCCAAATTGTGTATTCTTTTTCTTTCGGTCTCAATTTTGAGGCTACCACCTGTGCCATGGCTTTGAATCCTAACTAACACTATTTCAGTGATTTAAGAAAATTCCTGAATGTGAACCTTGTCACCTTGAAGTGGGAATTGAGACTGTAGGAAAAGGGTAAAGCAGTTATTTCTGACTTTGATCTCAACTAATAAGATTTGGAGAATCCAATTTCTGAAATGTCTGAAAAGCTATCTCAATTTACAGCTGAGTTTCTTCCCAGTACAAGGTCATGCTGTGCCTGTTCTTTACTGTTGTGGCTGTCGTGGTAGATGGATAGATATTTTTACCTTTCTGTGTAATTCTGGGCATATTTTGGGAGCTACAAAATTGTTGGTATTTGCTGAACATTTTGATCCATGTTAATGCAAAGTGTTATTAATAAATTAAATTTATAAATAAGACAAAACAACATTGTTCAAATTTACCAAGGTATTTCTTTCTTCTGCTTACAGTGTACTTGTCCTTTGTGAAACAGAAATATGCTTTACTGTCTTAAAATCCAGAAGAAATGACTTGCAGAAAATTTGTCCCTGCTCATGCATTTTCTTGTACTTTGGATTTAATTTTTCATCTCTACAGTAATACAATGCAAGCTAATAAATCTCTCTCTTATTTTATAGTTCGGGAACACATGCTACTGCAATTCAGTTCTTCAGGCACTTTATTTTTGTCGTCCATTTCGAGACAAAGTCTTAGCATACAAGAGTCAACCAAGAAAAAAAGAGAATCTCCTTACATGCTTAGCTGATCTTTTCCACAGTATAGCCACTCAGAAGAAAAAAGTTGGAGTAATACCTCCCAAGAAATTTATAACAAGATTACGAAAAGAAAATGGTAACTTTTTTCTTTCTCTCATATAATAATCATATCACTTGTGATTTGATTTCAAAGCTGAAATAGTGGAGTAATTCACCTGTGTATTTGCTAAGTATAAAAAGTGTTCTTGGTGCTGCAGTATAAAAAAGAGTTGGCCTTAGAATAAAGATGTAAACCTGGAGCCACTTTGAGAGAGGATCGTTGTCTCTCTTCACGTAGAGCTCAGTGTATTGTCAGTGGCTGCTTCTGAAATTGCTTGCTAATTTTGCCTCTGTAAGAACTGTGATTTTACAAGCAAAATTCACTGCAAAGTTTTTATTCTGTATTTAAAAGAACATTACTCTTTGAATGCAGAAATTAGTTTATCAAATTGGGTGTGTGGAAAGGACAGTAAGATGTCTGTGCAAGAATCTATCTTTTTAAAAACAAACATGTTTTGAAATTCAGTGAGAATTTATGCAATACTTGACCAACTTTCTTTTTTTTAAGAATTTTTGCATTTTAAAAGCAGTAAGTGGCTTTATTTAATTTTATTTGTGTTACAGATATCCTAGATCTCTAGAGATTTCCCAGATTTATAACATTTCTTATTTTTTTTTATCAGCAGTATCAATCAAAATGTTTTAGAAAATAATTCTATATTAAAATATAAATGAAAGCCTGTAATCTACTACTTGATTTGGGTACTTTTTAATAAATTATGACATTAAACTTTACTAAAAAGTAACCATTAAATTTAAATAAATAGTATAGGGTAGCATATTTACCACTGCTACAATAAAAATAGTCATACTGTTGTAATCTCTCTGAGAGCATATATTCAAAATGAAAAAATTTTAAATGTTAGGATGACCATCTCTGTAAGTAAAAACAAAGAATAAAATATTACAAAGATATTCCTAATTTTAAGTGACTCCCATAAAATGCACATCGTAAATAGTAATAATGACATTGGCAATGTTAAAAAAAGCTCTGATTTGATGTGCAGCCTCTTATCTATGCAGATTACTATATTTAGTGTATGACATTTTTCTAAATATAGCTGTATTTTGATGCATTTACAGACCAAATTAATCATATTGAATATTAACTAACCACAGCAAGTGCTGGGGTCAGTTCAAATGGAAAGTTGAAAGTAGAACACGGGAGCCATTAAGTTCTTTTTAGAAAAATGTTACCTCTTAATGCTTAATTATGACATAACAGTAGAATTCTAGGCAGGAAAAGGTGATTGGAAAATGTTAATGGCAGATCAGATGTGAAAGTTCAGCTCTTGTTGGCTTTTTAGATTTCTTTTAATGATGATGGTCTCGCCCTTCTTACAGAATTAAATGGCTAAATTGTCAAGCATGGACACATTATATGCTATTAAGTGTTTATCATGAAGCTATATAATTTGGGGTTGTAAGTAAGATTTAGATAAAAAAAGAAATCAGATGGGTATGCAATACCAGCTCTAGATTCTACACAGGTCAGAATCCTGTGATTCTGAGTGATGGCTGAGAACATAATCCTCACATGTTCCACGCTACAAACCTGCTATTCTTTATTTCCTGAGTCTGAGTCCAGTATTCGTATGTTAACAATCATAAAGCTTAGTATGCTAAAAAGCAGGTGCCAGCTTGAAGTCAGCTGAAGGTATACAGTTAGTTTTGCTCAAAACTCTTCTAATCATAAAATGAACAATAGCCAGGTCATGCATGGAATTCATTCTGTTATACTTAATGTCAGTTTACTGACTGGGCATATAGCCCCGAAGAACTTCTGAAGTAAGTGTTTTACCTTAAGAGACTTGCAGCTCCTGTTTTGTTTTTACTCAGTTGAAGGTGTTACAGCTGACTAAATTCAGAATTAGCCTATTCTTACTACTCAAAAGCAGTGTAGCAGTTCATTAAATAGCTATTTGGTTTATAGGCTTGACTGACTTGTTTTGTTATTTAACCTCTCCAAGTGAGTTAGATTAGCATCAAATTCTCCCTACTTTACTAGTTGTTCATAATTTTTTTTTTTTCTATTTGAAGAGGTATACCCTTAGATGGCATCAAGTGAATGATAGTAAAGCTTCCATGTAGTCCCAATATGCACTTCAAAAATCAGGCTGCACTGAGTGTCTTCTGCACTCATCTTTCCAGTCCTGGGAACTATGCCTTCACGGAAGGCAAGTCTCTTAGTATATTTTTGAACTAAAAGCAAATTGCAAGTTATAATTAACTGAATTAATTGCACGTTCAGAAGATTTGCATGATACTAGCCAGTGATATAGGGTGCTTTTTCAGTGGGCAACTAAATTTCCTTGTGCCAGCTCCTGCTCAGAAGAGAGAACAAGTTGCTATTACTACACCTGGTTTATAGCCTTTGTAGTTTTCTTAATCTCCTCCTTTGGAGGCAGAGGACTTTTCAAGGTGGTATCTTGAGTAGGCAATGTTTTCAGGATGGTACAATTTTGGACAAAAATAAGAGAATAGACTTTAGAGAATGAGAGTCTGACTTTGTACTTTAATCTGTAGCATTGCTATACATTGCAAGTATGTGCCACCGAAACTGTTCCACCTCAACTGAATTAATCCTAAGACTGTTATGCTTATGTTGACTAACTGAAGACATCAAGCAAGAAGCATGGTGGATCCATCTATATCTAGCTAACAAGTCCAGCAGTAATAGAGGTGCCTACATATACCAACCTCCAGAAGCAATTTTTCAGATTTTAAAAGATAGATCTATTGCTTGAAGTCCTAATCAGAAGCTTGTTTGCTGTTGCCTTGGCTAAGTCTTTAGACTAATTTGGCAAGGCTCCTACAGATTCTGCCTTACTTAGAGCTTTGAGTAAGAAAATGGTTGTTTAAAAATTACCGATATCTTTGATCTTTGCTTTAATCTTATTTTCACTGCTAGTATTAATGACACTGTGCTTGTGACAGAACAGCAGTTGACTTACAACCCTAAAAGTGCAAATAAATAATGTTTTTAGTATTTGTTGTTCATATTCTTCCTCTGATAGAACATATAAACAGTGAAACATTTCCTCTCATAAGTTCTCAGTGCATTTGTGTAAATATAAACATGTAATGCCATTTGAAATGCCCTGTTTTATCCAAGACATTGACCTAGGCTTGGCTGATATGACACAGCACCCGTAAGAGCTCCAAATTGGTGAGGACTGGCATCTGGAGGCTGGACTGCATAAGCCAAACATTTCAGATAGCACTGTAGGTACACCTATGTTTAGGTAGTTGAATCATGCCTTACTTTTCTTGCAGAATGGTTCACTCTCCCGGTAATTGTTTTGAGTTGAGATATTGTGTTAAATATAAGCTGACTTCCTAGTTTGTGAAGTATTCATCTTAGGATGGTGTTAGATTGTCATGTATGATTCAAGACTTGAAGTGAAGAGTGATTTTTGAAAGTTGGAGGTTTTGCCTTTTTTTTTTTTTTGGGCTACAGCACTAACAAACTAATTAAAACAAATCTGTTCTTTATCTTGTAGAGCTTTTTGATAACTACATGCAGCAGGATGCACACGAATTCTTAAACTATCTATTAAATACAATTGCGGATATCTTACAAGAGGAAAGAAAACAAGAGAAACAAAATGGTCGCCTACCTAATGGCAACATCGACAATGAAAATAACAGTCCACCAGACCCAACCTGGGTTCATGAAATCTTTCAGGGAACATTAACTAATGAAACTAGATGTCTTACTTGTGAAACTGTAAGTCTGCATTTACTCTGTAAAACAAACTCTTCATGTTTTCAGAACTCAATTATCTCAGCAAACTAACATATTGGACTGATTTCTTTCTTTGGAAATCTAATGTTGGTATGAACGTTCGTGTTTGGTTTTTTTTCTTTGTTATTGAGACTATTTCAGCAGCTAATGCATGAGTTCCAGGAAAAAGCTGTTGGTCAATTTTTAGGAAAATGCCCAATTGAATATTGCCAGTGTGGTCATAACCAATTTCAAAATTTAGCTTAGCAAAGTCTAAATTGATATATTTCTCAGAGCAATGAAGCCTGCTGTTTGGAGATGTGGAGTTTTTTCTCAAACTTACTGTCTTAATGACTTAATGTCACACTTGGTCATGCTTTCTGGAAATAGGTATTCTGAACGAGTTTTCAGATTTCTAGTTTTTAAATTTAAAGCCATTGAAATCAAGAGATTGTGATTGGCTTTTGGCTTTGAGGCATTAGACTGGGATTTTCAAAGAATGTGGCTTTGGTGCAGGAAAGGTAATTCTTTCTTAAACTTCTCTCCACAGGAATTCTTGTACTGCTATAACATAAGAAATAAATGCCCATTTTGAAAAAGAGCTATCCTAAAATTTTCTTTGATCCACAATAAGAAAAAGAACATGTTTCAGAAAAACTTATAATTGAATTTTACTTGAGAAAAATAATTTGAAAATTACAGTAATCGTGTTATGGTCTGTGCTTTAGATATTGTAAAAAGCTAAATGACTATACTTTTTGTATGACTCTTCATACCTATTTTCCTTAAAGAAATTAGGTAATGAACCTATTTCAGCGTGATGTTGGAAAGGACAAATTAATCAGATTAAATCTATATATTTCATATCTCTTTTCCTGCATCGTACAGAAATTCCACTTCTCTTTGTCAAAGAAAACAGCTTCCCAATGTCATCGGTAATACAACTGCAGACTTCAATTAAACCACTATATTTTGAGTAATTTAGGTGCTGATTTCTAACTAGCATCTCTTTTTTTTTCTGTCACTTGCTTCTTTTTTATTTCTCAAACTGAATCTTTTTTTTTCTTCTCTTGAAACATGAATTTCACTTAGTCTTTTAGGATGAGCTGATATCATTACCTTTCCTTGCTATGTCAGTGAATTATTCCTCTCAGTCCTTAATGCAACTTCTGAAGGCTAGTATGCTTTTTACCACCAGTTTTCTTTATTAGTTATCAGACCTATCACAATTTTGAGAGTTTTACTAATATTGCTCTAGTTTGCAGTGCTCTATTTTTCTGTGCGCTGTTACCGAACAAGATATGCTATGTCAGTTTACAGCTGTGCCTCCTTGACCAGTTGCATTTTAAACGATATTCCAGGCCACAATGTTTTAATACATATTGTTTTTTAATATATTTTGGGCCGTTGTATTTCAAGCCGTAATCATCTGGAAGCTGTTTCATAACCTTCTGTCTATTCAATGTATCAGCTTCTGTGTGTTTGAAAACCAGTTTCCTGAAAACAGGCACTTAAATAGACATTTAGACCTAATATTACTGTGACGAGTGTCTTATTTTCAAACATAGTGAGCATATGTGATTGTTTTAATGTTTACTGGAAGTTGCTGGTATTTAGAGTCTTTCAGTGTTTCGAGACATAACTTGACCTATATTCAAGTACTCCTGAGAGTTTATGTTGAGGATTACACAGCAATAAAAGTTGAATTGGTTCCTTTTAAGGAAAAGTCAGTAACTTTGGTATATTTTTAGTCTAAATTTGGAATATAATGTGTAATTAAATATAAAATACAATATATCTTTTCTCCAAGTGTGATTGATCATCTTTTAACTGGCCCAAACTACTTCATGTTAACAAATATTTGTGTCTTGGGTCAAGCTATAACATAAATAAGTTACAAAACAGATTGTAAGTTGTCTTTGCATGCTGTTAATGCGATTCACTGTTATGTTGCCTTCCCCCTCCTTCATAGAGAGGCAGTATGATGAAGTAGTAGAAATTTGTGGCTAATGGATAAAAATTATACAGCAATATTTATTGGTTTTTAAAGGTTTTCCTCAAGATTTAAGAAAAGAGTAATAGGAAACCAGACAATAATGTAACTGACTTAATTAAGATTCTGCTTGAATACTTGAAATAGCTAAATGTGGGGAGTACTTGTGTCAAGGAAAAAGAGGAAATGGTCTTAGGTCAAAAGCGTCAAACTGATATTCAGAATGTTTGTCTTCAGCTGATGGTCTTGCAGTTTTAATGCAGCCCTGCAAGGCACGTAACTCTGCTTTATCTCAGTTCTACTTCAGATAACTTAGAGAAGGCATTAAGAATAAAAATCTCAGTGGTCTGTCTTCTAAGAGCACCACAGAAGCCTTAACGATGTCCTAGTTCTCCCCCTCTCCCTTTTTTAAACCCAAGATTAAGCATGCCCTTTGTTTCAGCTTCATTTAAAAATAGTTTCTGTCTTAGCACCCATAGGACCCTATGGTTACAATGAGCTGATTTTTTTTTCAATGAGCTGATTCACATTGCTAGAGAAATTAAAATCTGAAAGAAATACAGACTCGGTGAGTGTTAGCCTTCTGGGTTCTGTGCTCTGTGTGGCATTGTTCATCAGACTACAGCTGAGCTGTGTGAGTGCAGATTATGTCCGTTAGGTCAGGACAGCATACCATCCACTGTAGCCAGAATGCTGGGACACCTAAATTCTTCACTATTATTCAGATGCTCACACTGTATTTGGAGAATTCACATGGCTTTCTGAACACATCAGGGCTTGATTCTGCAAGTGATGAAGTTTTCTGATTATGTCCCCCCTTTTTTCATTGTATAGATAACTGAAATCTAGAGCATTGGAGATAAGTCCCCTCTAGCCTAAGGAACTTGCAATGGTATCTACTTGAAATAGAATCTCTAGACAAGAGGGTTTGTTTTTTGGGTTGTTTTGGGTTTTTTTTAGAATGGAGGATGTTTTTTCAACTAAAACTGTTTGAGTTAACATAAGATAACTTTTCAAACATTAGTAACGGAGGAGTCTTGAAAAATAAAGAATAGCGATTTCTAAATTATCAGCATAGATGGAAAAAGTCGACTCGGCTATTCTTCTTTCAAGAAGGTTCAATAGAACCTTTAATGGTTCTTAATCATCCTAAGGACTGGCTAACCTGAGAGAAGTTCTTGAAGGCAGCATCGTCAGTATCATCATTAAGATGGGAAGAATTTGTATTGCGAACTTCTGGTTTCAGTATCAATCTCCTTTTTAACCAAGGACAACACATCCCTATCCTCTTCTCTGCTCCCCACCCTCCCTTCCAGAACTTACGTGTGTTAAAGCTGTCTGTAATGTTGTTGTTGTTGTTGCAAGAAATTTTCTTTGATTAGACCAAAAGAGAAAGAAGTATTAACTGAATGTTTGAATGACACTGATCACAGGGCTCCTTAATTCTAGTTGAAGGCTGCAGTAGGGTGTTTTCTAGAACTACTGATCCTTTTTGAGCTGTTCTAAATCTCTAGGCTGAGATGATTTTCACTCAGACTTCTTAATGTTCCAAACTCAAGTATGATAATTCTGTAAGTGGTTTGCAATGGGATATTTTGAAGAATTATTCATCTTTGCATGCCTAAACAATAGTAAGGAACAATTCTTCAAAAACAGGCTGAATATGCAGGTGGCTTTTCTGGATCCTAAAAACATCTTGGAAGTTTTCATAGATACTCTGTGATCCATTTAGAAGTCTAACCATACCCTTCAGCATTTAAATGATACTGTAGAAGTGATGTATACTGGCCTAGTGGCATAGTTTCTGTACACGTACACATACCTTTAACAGATTACCTGCAGAAGAGTGGGAGAAATCTTAAAATTCCCTAGTCTTGTTACAGGTGTTAGCAGAAACTTTCAATGTAATTTTGTAAGTTTTTGGAATTCTCCAGTGATGATAATTCTCAAAAATAGTTGTCCTAACCACCTTTTTTCTTCTATTTTTCGCCATGTATACTGCCTTTAATAATTGCATGCTACTTATTCTCTTGATAATCAAAGAACAACTTTTCAAATTTACCTTTATTTTAAGTTGAAAAGGGAACTTAAATCTCACATATCTTAAAGATCAGCTTATATTCATTCTCCTGTAGCTCTTTAGTTTCTGCCCTTTCCATCAAGAAACTGCAGACGGGCATCTTTTCTAAAAGCATTCACTTTTGTACTTAGAAGTCGTGCAAGGCAGCAAATGTTCTCATCAGTGACATTGAATATCTTTAGCTATGGAGGGCAAACACTACCATACAAAAGTTAAGGTTGCAGTTTGGTATTTCCTAAACCTTTTTAATAACAGGGTTATTGTGTGGATTTCACCCATCACCATTCAGGACTTGTAATGGAAGTTCTCCTTTGCTTCTACAGTTTTATTTTCTAATTTAATTGTTTTTCTAGTATTTGTAAGAAGTAGCTATGCACAATTCTGCCTCTGCCAGACCAAGTAACAAGCTCTCATATACCGACAAATTTCTGTTGCTCGTTTAAGGGCATGATGATTGCATCCAGAAATAGGCTTCAAAACATGAGTGCTATCTATTAGGGATGCTTGGTAGGCAAATACATATCTTCCAGTAAGAGGGAATCATAAAGGAAGAGCAGGGGTGAGTGCACTACAGAGAAGAAGAATCCCAGAGATTGTATTCCTTTCAAAAGAGTAAGGTATAAAAAGAACTTGACGTTAATATTAATGAGCTGAAATCACAACAAAGTGACAAGTGGCGTTATATTTCTCCCACAGACACATATACGCTTCCATATTCCTCTTTCCAGTCAAAAGCAGAGATCTAATAAACCTCTTAAATACAAAAGCCACTTGTCACAATTTGTTTAAAGGCTAGTCTAAGGTAAAAGATACATTCTCTCAGAAGAAAACTGTGCTGAAAAAATGAGGTAAATCACAGTAACTAGTTTTTTCTGTAATAAGTAAGACCTTTTTTTTTCCTGCAGATAAGCAGCAAAGATGAAGACTTCTTAGACCTTTCAGTTGATGTGGAGCAAAATACTTCCATCACTCATTGTTTAAGGTAGATACAAAAATCTGAAGTTTCTTAATTTGTCTTTCATCTTTTACCGAGAAAGCAAGAAGTAAAAATAAAAACTCACATTCATTTGACTAAACAAATTTTTGGCTTATGTAGTCTTAGAATGTAAAAATCATATGTTTATAACTTTTTAAAATGGCTGTATATTTCCAATATGAAACTAGTGTCTATAGCTTTTCTTTTTTATGTTTTGGTTTTTTTACACTTAGGGGTTTCAGCAATACAGAAACTCTGTGCAGTGAATACAAATATTACTGTGAAGAGTGTCGCAGTAAGCAAGAAGCACATAAAAGGTACATCAAATCGCAGAGGAAAAAAACCACTACCTTTAAATAATTCTTATATTTCCTTGTATATGTGTGTGTATTGGGCAGGGAAGAGGGTTTTTTATCCCTTAATTATCCTGACTCTTCTTCTATTAAAAAACTTTGTTGCCTTCTTCTTGCTTGAATTCAATGAGCCTACTTGCAGGAGTAAAAAGAATTTATGTAAAGCATTTTGGGAGGCCTTTGATCGTGATTTATTTTAAAAAGGAGAAAAAAAATGGTCGTAAGCCCCCCAAAAAACCGAAAAGAACAGCATTAAGAACTAACAGTGGCTGATCAAAGGTTATGATTAGTGATGAAAAATCACTAATTTCACGTGACTTTTTAAATTTGGTTTTCTCTAGACAAATTAAATAAAGTAATTCCTGGAAATGTGATAAGATAGGAAAGGTTAATACAACTGATGGAGTAAACAGGTTAAAGCAGATTAATTTTTACAGTTGCTGTAAGAGACAGTTTCATACTGCTTTTTTTTCTGATCCAGTCAGAATGAAGCTCATAATGTTATATTTTTGTTAACTGAGTTTATGATTTCTTAAAAATATGTAATTAGGTGTGCTAAACTTTTTGCTTGAAAGTGCTCCTGAAAAGTAGCAAAATATCCATGGAAGCCTGAGTCTGTTTTTTTTTTTTGGGGGGGG